TTCTGGATAAGATAGTGTGGACTGGATTAATGGTGAATCTATTTTACCCTCAGACTGTGGTCAGAGAAAGCACAGCATTCACACATGGTAGGAAGAGAATAAGGAAAGGGCACAATGCAAAGAGCAAATGGTTTGGACCAGAGACAGCTGGGGCTGAGGTCCTGCTTTAAGTCTCAGCAGCTGTGCATCGTGGGAAAGTCAGCCTTTGTGAGCCCTGGCGTCCATATCTATTAAACAGAAATGCAGCAATAATAATATCTAATTCCTACCATCAGGGAATGAAATGAGATACTGCATCCCTACTATTTACAGAGCAGATCTTAATAGTAATCAGTATAATAAATGTATTACTTGACAGGCCTTCTTCCCAGCACCTGTTGTGTGCCACGCCCAGAGAGGCATGTGCTGGAGAGGAGAGGCCCCTTGGCCATGGGAGCCCGCAGATCGGCAGGGAGCAAGGCAAGACATAAGACATATGGGGCGCCATATTCAGTGCACTGTGCAGAGTCAGGACCCCAGGACTGGGAGCCCCATGTCCAGACCTCAAGTCTTCAGGAAGAAATAATGTAAGAGATGCCGGGATGTATACTGCTTCCTGGTAACAGCTGGAGCGTGAACTCCCTCTGTTGAGGGAGATCCTCAGAAAACTGCCTTTGCAGAATCTCTGTCTCACCCCAACCACATCGTGTTCTCTGCTCCTTGGGGAAGCAGACGGAGACCCTGTCAAGAAAGCTTAAGGTCTATGGCCCCAGCAACAGTGCTTGACGGGCAGTAGCAATGGGGGAGGACAAAGGTTAATGCCAGGGATCTTCTTCTGAAAGCCTCCTGATTTTGAGACCTAGCTTGTTGCTTTTTGATATGCATATCTCCAGAAATAAGGAACTGAGGATATACATGTCTTTAGAAATAAGGAACTGAGAAACTTGTCTTTCTGTCTCAGTAAAGATTAAAACTTATTGTATTTGGACATTGCCATGAGCCCATATTTCTAGGGTGCAGAAATAAAAGATTCTCCTGGGTCAGGCCTCTTCCCTTGCTAAAACCCCTTCTCCACCCCTGTGCTGTGCTGGAAGGACTTGGCTGCAGGCAGAAGCAAAACTTGTCCCCCACTCTTAATGCTAATGGAGACACACACACACACTCACACGCTCACACGCTCACATGCACACAAATGCACCAAGGACTGGGCTACTTAGGCAATCAGAAAACCTCAGCTTCGGTCAAGTGCAGTTAGCAGGGCAGGTCACATCCAGACACTGCTTGGCTTTGGACGGATAGGGAATAATAGCTGAGCGACGGCCTTTGAGGGACTGCAGTCTCTTATGGCTCTGAACTTCCTATATTATTGTGATAAAAAGTATCCAAGAATGGGCTAGCCTACCAGGGAGGGGAGCAATTCTAATTTTGACAGTACCTAAAAAAGTCCTCCTTCATGGTCGATTGTTCCCAGGAGGAATAAAGTAAACTTTGTCCTTTAAAAGCCTCTAAGATCTTCCCAAGCCTCCTGGCCTTCTCAGGTAGCAAGTGAGAAGGCCATTCTGGTGGTCACACCTCCCTGTCCCCAGCCTTTACCCTGTGTCCATGCTGCCCATCTCACAGGGCCAGGGAAGTCAACCAGGATGGCTGGTGGCCATCTGTGCCCTCCCAAGTGGCCTCATGGTGTGAACCTCAGCCCAGAGCCTGCCTTCAAGTGTTGAAAGGATGTCACTTGTCTAAGCACCTCTGGCTCCTGTCTCTTCTCCAGGCGTGCACCCTGCCAATGTAGACACCAGTGGGTACTTTGCTCTCGAATCTCAAAGGCCTTACATATATCCAGTCCATGATGATTCAGCGACTGCCCCAGGCCAGCTCAGTGCAGGCACTGGGGGTACAGCCATGATGAAAACAAAGTTCTGTGTCCTCAGTAAGCTGGCATGTGAGCCGAGAGAGGCAGACATAAGGAGTAAACATGCTAAATTAATAAACGAGAGAGCAGCTTAGAAGGTGGAGTTCTGGAACGGAGGTCAGGTTTGGGGTCCTGGGGTTGGGAAAAAGTGGAGTATTAAGGTGAGATGAATAGCTACAGCCACACTGTGCCAGCCAGACAGCCTAGTCAAAGGATCGCTCTGGGGACCCTAGCCAGGCACTGTGTCCTATGTGTGCTGGGGCCCACTGAAGGGATTTCAGGTGAGTAGAGAGCAGCTGGCCCAGGGTTTTTCTGCACCACGCTTTGACTCAGGGGTCCTTAAACTTTTTGAATGGAGGGCCAGTTCACTGTCCCTTAGACCGTTGGAGGGCCAGGCTGTGGGCCCCGGGACCAGTTGGCTGTTAAGCAGGACAGGCAGCAGTGGCAAAAACACCTGGCCAGCTGGATAAATGTCCTAAGTGGGCTGCATGTGGCCCGCGGGCCGCAGTTTAAGGATGCCTGCTCTGACCCAAAGTGTCTGTGGCTCTTCTGGTTCCACTCTAAGCACTTTGCTCTCTTTCATAAGAACGTGCCTACATCCTTGAGGAGTCTCCCACCTCTTGGACTCCCCAGCTCTTTCTTTTTTCTTTTTGAGAGAGAGTCTCACTTTGTTGCCCTCAATAGAGTGCTTCTGATGTCATAACTCACAGCAACCTCAAACTCTTGGGCTCAAGTGATCCCCTTGCCTCAGCCTCCCAAGTAGTTGGGACTATAAGCACCTGCCACAGTGCCCAGGTATTTTTAGAGACAGGGTCTTGCACTTGCTCAGGCTGGTCCCAAACTCCTGATTTCAAGCAATCCACCTGCCTCACACTCCCAGAGTGTTAGGATTACAGGTGTGAGCCACCATCCGACCAGCTGCAGCCTTCTACCTCAGGCACACTGTCAGTTTCTCAGGACTCCGGCTCCCTTAGCAGCACCCTGCCTGCCTCCCTTAGGTGAGCTCTTGGCTTCTCATAGTGGCACCCTGTAGACTGTCCCTGCATACACCCTTCCTAACTGTAGCCCCTGCAGCCGCAGGCACAGCTCATGAGCCCTCACACGTCTGTCCTTGGGGTCAGGAGTCTTATTACCCCTGTGGGACTCTTTGAATCCTTCTTTCCCCTAACAAAGCTACAACTTTCTTTGTTCTAAACAGCAAGGAATAAATAAACCTACAGACAGGCTTGTATTTTTCCTCCATATTTATTAATTCCAAAATAAACACATAAACTTGTAAACAAATGATCACAGCTGATGATGATTTAGAGTCGCTTGCTTGATTTTTTATTGCAACAGCTTAAAGAGAAAGCTTTCTACATTCAATAAATAGGATAAAAAATACTTCGTCTTCATACTTTTCTTCTCATCATCTGTCTCATATTTTCTTTCTGGAAAATTTCCAGGAGGCTTTGCAGAAATGTCAGCGTGTTGCCTGCTGTGGTTTGGTTGCATGGCTGTTCACAGGAGAAAAACTGCAGGGACAAAGTGGACAAGGACAGAGGGACTCAGACAGTGTGGACCCGAGCAGCCCAGGAACCACCCTGCTCAGAGAAGAGGGGGACGGAGGCGCAGGGATGGGAGGCAGGGTTAGAGACCTAGAAGACCAGGGAGGCAAGTCCAGGTTCTCCTGCACAGTGTGAAGACATTGTGGGCGGTTGACATTCGTGGCAGGATTTCAGTGTTCACATACATACCTATCAAGGGACCCTAAATTTCCCTGTTAGACAAAGTCTTTCCTGCGGTCTCTTTGAGGCCTAAAACTGTGTTATTGACCTTTTAAGTGGTCCTTCCAAGGTCATTTTATAGCACAATGGCTAAGAGTGAGACTTCGGGTCACAAAGACCTGAGTTCAAATCTAAACTCTGCCACTTATTGAAAATGTAGCCTTAGGCAAATCAGTTAACTTCACAGATCATTAGCTTTTTTCTTCTTGAGAGTAATAAACCTAATCATTGTCCCTAAGTTTTCAATGAGAGAGTATATATTAAGCACTTAGAACTGAAAGCTGTTGATGGTAGAAACATAAGCCTCTAAATAACTGAGGTCAGGGCTTTCTGCCTTCTGTGGTCTCAAGTGGAGAGGCTAATTCCCAAGGTAGGCAAAGAGGTGACCCCACCCCCTGCCATCACCTCCTCCACCCCCTTTCAACCCGGGGTTAATATATGCTGAGGAAAAGAATGCCTAAGGGGCCTTGAAGGCAGGTGGCAAACTTCCTCTCCTTGATCTGGGGACTTAAACACCTCCTTAGCCCACTAAAAAAATTTCTTTTAACGTATAGGCCACAGTATCTATTCAGTTAACAAGTTGAATCTCTAGGATAATTCAGTATTTCATGAACTACAGCTCTGATTCTTTAGATCATAGCTTCTAATTACAATCAGAATGAATCCTTTCCTTATTCAATAAGTGGAGAGAAAGATGTAAAGGACCCTATCTATGTATTTTTTAAAACTAGGGGGAACAATGGACTACCTCACTTAAATTCAGTTGTGTCTGATTAAATTTCTTGAACGTCCCTTATCAACCTTGAACTGTCAAGTCCAACTTCATCACCCTTTCTCATTCAAACAGGGATAGCAACAACACCCACATCAAAATGACCAACCCGAACATTCCACATGGAAAAACCAACTCACTGGACACTTGTTGTTCTTTAAGGCTGCAACTGTTTTTTTCACCCGATTGAAAATCTGTGGGTGTTCGGTGTGCACTGTGGAGTTGGTCATCTGTGACAGCCCCTCTTGGAAGCATGGTCTGGTGCAGTTGTCCTGGTAAATAATACAAATTTATTAAAAGAAGCGCTTCAAGGACAGCTTTGAGAATACCTCACTAAGCGTGGTAGATAGAGACTGCTTTAATGTAACCAGTGTAACCCCAAACTTGCATTATTTTCAGATACATCCCTTGCTGGTCTATAAAATAATCTTCAGTATTTCAAGGTGAAGCCACTTTTCCACAATGACAATCTCTGGAGGAGATTTTAAGTACAAGAAGCATGAGGCCTTTGGACCCTGTAGAACAACCAGTTTTGAGGCTCCCTGCTCCAGGCCTTGTGAGAGTAAATTCAAAAGTACATAGAACTACTTTTAAAATCCCCTCCCATCTGATGGGATGGGCCGGCTAAAGCAGCTAGAACGGGACTATAACCCTGGGGGCGGGGTTGCTGGGCTAACCATACATGCTTCCTCTCTAGAAGGCTCCCTGGCCTCTTCTCATCCAGTGACAGCCTGTGGTGAGCTTGACGTCTCACTTCAGCTGGAGTGAAAAGCTCAGATTTTCTCAGACATGGCTTGAGGGAAAACCCCGCACCGTGTGCACCCTGGATAAGTACTTCCTCGTTACCCCAACCAGGAGTTTAAATTAGGAATCAGAGCTTTACTGCCCCTCTTCTGCCCTGCCAGACTGGGCAGTGGTCCTCTCGGATCTCTGCCTCCACCCACAACCCAAGCCACTCATCTACCCAGAGTGCAGCATTCAAATCCTACAACGGACACCCTGATCAGCTAGGTAGACAGCAGGGAGGCAGGGACAAGGTGTCGGGGAGAAGAAAGGAGGAGGGATTGCACACACATAGTTGATGAAGATGAAAGACAGAGTTGTCATTCTATTCACATTGTTTCACAGCCCTAGGGTCATTGGCAAATGAGTTAGAAAGCAGTGTGACGTAACCTATATCAATGATTATATTCTTAGTTCCAGTATGATTAAATTGTGCACGTGGCCACTCATCTAAAAAGATATTTGAGATTCTTTATTCGATATTAAAATGTGTTCCAAGATCTCAAGAGACATAAAGCTAACTAAATACAAAGACATTTATTATAGTACAGAATTTCAAGAACCTGATTTTAAAAGCAAAAGCTAATCTATAATAATCGCAATTAAGTAACAATTTCTGATTTTAAATATCAAATCAATGTGTTTTTACTTACAAACAAAAAGAAAGGATCAAAATTATATTCCTTCACTATACTTACGGAGGGGATGGGCAGACACAGGCAACTGGTCACCTGCAAAAGAGAAATTTCAGTGTGAGGGTCCAGCTGTGAAAATTAAAATTAGTTTGGGAAGTTCTTAAAAGATTGTTCACTCACATTGCTGCTGCAGCTGCATTTTGAAGACAGATCTGTCTAAAGTAAGGAGAGAGGTAAGAACCCAAAATGAGTGGCGCATTTTGTCATCCTCTATATACGGCTCACTTAAATTGTCAGTAGCTGTCTTTCCTGCCATTCCCCCGTGCAGCCTACCTGCAACTTGTTGATGAGGAAGTTGATGTCCAAGATCCCCATGTGGGTTGAACACCCCTGGCCATCCACAGAGCAGAGGAGTAGGGCAGAGGCAAGGACTGTAACTAGGAGCATCATGACCCAGGACTGGAGCTCAGCCTGCAGGTGCCTTCAGATCTAGTCGTATTTAAAGCTCCCTTCAAACATGGGAAAACCCTGACATCAAACTGATACCAAGGGCCCACTTTTTCTCTGTAAATCGGGGCCCCTTGATATTGAAAAATAAAACTGAGTCACTTCACAAAGAGTATGTTGTGCCAGGAAATATCCTTCTTCAGAAAAGATACTTTTCTGTTAGGTACTGAATTGCTGAAGGAAAAGTTAAAGATCTAAAAACCATAATTTTTTTAAGGCAGGGATTCCGGTTGTGAGGGTTAGAATATTACCATGAAAGCCCAGGTCTGTATTTTCCCTTTTTACATTATTGGAAACTCTGATATAATAGCCAGTCATGGGTGTTCTGATGAAGGGTGGGAGGAAGCAGGATGAGTGATCTGGCAGGACACCTCTTCTGTCTGCTGAGGTTTTCCTCTAGCATTGCAATCTCAGCCCTACTGCATTTTACTCACAGATGACAATGCCTTTCACATCTAAGACCAAATTCTCCACCTCATTCAAATGCATGTGAGAAGTATTCCTTTGGGGCAAGCATCTGGGAGAACAAATCTTCAACTATGAGCACAAGAATGTAGCAACCCTGCTTGTTCAAATTTGCCTTAAAGATTCTTAGTGTCTTACTCTTTTCAGAGGCCTCATATTGCACTGTAATGACAAGTAAAACTTGGTTCTTGAGACATTAGCTAACATAGCTTGGTTCTTGAGACATAGCTAACATTTATTGAGCACTTACTACATGCAAGTCACAATTCTAAGCACTTGATGTGAATTAACTCATGTGATACACTTGGCGGCCCACTGAGGTAGGTACTACTTCATCAGCCTTAGTTTTTACTTTTTAAAACACTGTCAACATCTCAGCTTCTTGGCCCTTTAATGTGTTTGTCACCATGGTCTCACTGTAGCCCAAAGAGATAAATACATAATCATCCTTATTATTTTAAGTAAGGAAAAACCGAGGCACAGAGAGGTAAATAATCTGCCCAAAACCACACAACCGGGAAGCTGCAGAATCTTTCCTCAAGCCTAAAAGTCTGGCTGCCAAGTTCGGGTCTTAACCCTCTTTCACTCCTGCTTCTCTGTGTGTTTTTATCTGCCTTCCCCACCAGAACACAATGCCAGGGCCCTGTGAGTCTGGTTCACCCCTATATTCTCAGCACATAGGAAGGTGCTTGGGGAATTGTGGGCTCTCACAAAATGTTGCTGAATGAAAACGCTCATTGGAAAGGTAGTTCTTGAAATAGAAGCTTCCTATTTGGGTGGATTTTATAGATATCAAGTTTAGTTTCTCGGGTACACATTTAGAGGTGCGTGCAGGGAAGAGAATGCATCCTCTAGCCCAGAGAGTGAAAAGGGGAGCTTCTTTTACTCAGTGCTCTGAGGCATCGTAGCTAACGGGGACAGACTCCTGAGATTGTTTACACACGTGTAAGAGTGTGTTTGTTGGCAATATTGGTTCTCTCACCACACATGGGTCTCTGGGATTGAAGACATTTCGTCAGTGTTCTCCTGTACTGTGGGGGAAGAAGCACATCTTAGCCAACAAGGCAAAGAGAAACAGTACATTCCCCAAATCATTCCCCATCCCATAGCTCTGATTTCCACACTCGCCCTTTGCAGACACTAAGGAGAAACCTCAAAGGCCTGCCGGTGGTAAACACTTTTTGTTACGGAGCCCAATGTCTATGCCCTATCTTGATGATAGAACCCTATTTACTTTAGGATGTCCTGTACCTATCCAAATACCTACTTTTCAGCCTCTTTTTTTCTGCTACCGGTAGCCGTGTGACATGTTTTGATCAACACAACTTCCGTAGAATCCTTTTGCTTTCATGGTAATAGGCGACGGAAGTGGCTGAAACCGGGCTTTCTCCCATGTTCCCATTTGGGTGTGAGGGGAGGAGCTTCGCCAGCCATCTTAGAACTGTGAAGAAATGCGCAAGAGGATTCCAGCAAGGGCAACACTAGCGTTTTGCATCAATAGAAAATAATCATAAAAACAATAAAAATAAAGCCATGAAAGTAACAATAGAAATAATTATAAGAATATACTAGTGACGCTAAAATGCTAGATAGCATTACGTACTGAAGACCCTGAGTTATGAAAAAAATGGAAATTAGCATGCTTTGGAGAGATGTTAAAGATGTATTAGTACCAGACTAAATCTGTTCCCCTGACATTATTGGAAGACTTGAAAGACCCTTGAAAAGGCAATCGATTTCTTATTCTATAAATCCCTACTATTTAATGCTCTGTGTGTGAACCGTGGAAATTATTTCACTTGCCATCAATTATATCTCTCATACTGAGGAAATTCACTGTCTAGATGAGGGCTGTACCCAAAAAAGAGAAAAGGACTTGTCCCAAGCCATGGTTCTCATTACCAGGGGGGAATAGTATAGTGTTGTGGTCAAGACCAGTGACTCTGGAATCACTGGGTTCCAATCTTGCCTCTATCACTTGTCAGCCCCATAGGCTTTAGGGACATTACCTGCCCTCCTCCCTGAGCCTCTTCCTATTTCCTGAATAGAAGATGGAGATAGAGGGAAGTTTTTCTAGAGCAAAGAAATCTAGATTAGGGGGTCAATAAACTGTAATGCACTTCCCAGACTCAGAGTAAGGTCTGTAAGCTAAGACTCGTTTTTGACTTTATAAAGAATAGTAAAAAGAAAAAAATTAAAACAAAGAAGAAAGTGTCAGAGACTGTGTGTGGCCCATATAGCCTAAAATATTTGCTATCTGGCCCTTTACAGGACAAGTTTGCCACCCGCTGGTCTAGTTCACACCCCGGGCTTTTCATTTTCTGAAGACATCACGCGCCATCTTTCAGTCTGGGGCAGGGGAATGCTAGGAGCTGGGGCTCAGGTGTCTCTTTTCCCATTGCCCGTCTGCTTTTTCAGCTCAGGCCTCTGTGCAGAGGGAAAAGGGTGGAGGCTCTGGAATTGTAGACTCCTGGGTTACCTATAGGAGTGGAGGCCTGTCACTTCCTGGAGCTTTTGGTGGAGCAAGCTTGCTGGTCTCAAAAACCACAACTTTTCTCTTGGTGAAGCCAGGTATCTGTGGTCAAGGATACCTCAAGCAGGTCTTGGTTTACTAGGAAGCATTCCACATCTTGAAGTTAAGAGAAAAGTCAGTAAATCGAGATTTCTTTTGCTCCAGGCCAAGTCCTGGCCTGACCAGTAGGTGGGGTCACTCACCCTCCTTGCCACTTGCCAAGAGTGGTGATCCAAGGATGCTGGTGCTCTTTGGGCAGGTCACCTAGCCTTTCCATGCAGCAAGGTACCACCACGCTTACCCACACGAAGAAATGAATTTGGGGCCATCATTCAGCCCTTCTCAGGAAAGAATAGCAGTGTTCCATTGGAGGGGTCTTCTCAGTTCTCCCCTTACCACCACCCTCCAGTTACGTCGGCTTCCTTCTATTTCCGTCCCGCAGGCCTTTGCCCTTTTTAAGCTCTGCCTGGCATGTTCTTCCTCAGCACTTCCACACCCAGCCCTTCATCTTCAGGACTCAGCTCAACTACCACCTCCTCCACGAGGCCTTCCCTGACCACAGGAATCACAGCAATCTGCCAAGGGCCTCTTTTCCTGTTTATTTCTGCAAGTGGAATGTAAGCTCCACCCACACGCAGATACTATGACTGACTCTCTCGTTCATCAGTGTATTCCCAGGGCATGGTCTACAGGACCATGGAATTACTGGTGAATGAACATGTGGTTAATAAATTTATTGTATTATTGTATTCCCAGGGCATGGTCTACAGGACTCAGGAATTACTGGTGAAATGAACAAATGGCTAATAAATTTAATTTT